TCCGGGGGGTGAGGTGGGGGGGGCTACCGCCTGGTTTGATGTTTCAAAGTTTTCCTAAGTGGGTCGTAAAGTTGCCGTCTTGCTCGATCCTCATAATTATTGACCTTACTAGGTTTGCAAATATATCTGTGACCACATCCTCACCTACTACAAACTCTACAACCATTAAGGTTATTGGTTCTAACCCGCCAGACTTTGCTCCTCCTCCAGGTGCAGTATTTATGTATGAGAGCTCCAAGCACGACATCTCTCGACCTCACTACTGGATCGTTTATGAGACGGCTGCAAAGAAACCGAGTAATAAGCGGATGGGGCGGGAAGAAGGTATTTTTTGAGGTTCACTTGGAAGAGCAGGGTTGAATTCTAGGTAAAATCGAGGACCCTGGCTCTACCCCCTCTCCTTAGAAGGGCTAAGAGAAGCTGGGGACTAAAAGTTCGGATGAATTGCAACCCCACGGAGGGTCCGGGTCTGCTGGGCTTTTGGATGTCCCAATCGAACCTGATCAGTGGAAAAGGATTATTGCATTGAGCAAATTCACCAAAATGGAGTAAGGAAAAGAGTAAGGATAAAGAGGTGCTCCGGAGTTCTAAGAGGCCTGTTGCTCCTCAAGGGAAGGAGAAGAGGAAAAATAATTTACCCTCTTAGTCCTTCCTCCCGCTTGGAAAATCAAAGGAGCCCTCTCCTGGTCTGGGCTTATTGCTAAGACCAAACTCTCCGGAGCTTCAATTTATTGGAAGTCATGCACGGACATCTTCAGGAGACGGGATGTTTCGTCGGGAATCCTCAGTTTCAATATCGAACGGCACTCCAAATATTCAACAGCGGGATTCTTTGCTAGGGAGGGCATCCACATCCCGGTATCTCAGCCAAGCGGATAATCACATGTCACCAGGACGCTACCAAAATGGGACCTAAATACCATCAATATACACTACGGTATTCATAGGTCGCACTCCCAGACCTCGTTACTCATGGAATCCTCTACCATACTTGTATTCCCTTCAGGCCGTCTAATAAAGAACTTTCCAAATATATGCAGTCAGCGTCAGCGTCACATGACGAGAAGCCTTTGCTCTTATTTGGTATCGGAGATTCCCCAGCAGCATTCCCGGATACCCCCAGCCATCATGCGGAACATCACTCGTGCTCATATCATACGAGTTTATCGGTGGACACTATTCTATTCTCGTCGTTCCCGTATCCAGGCGGTGGATATATATACAAATGGTGAGGCGAAAACCGGGATTCCACTTGTTCACCTTGTTGCGGCGGATCGCGGGGGACAAGCAGTTGTGGTGACATGTAGAGGTGCGCTTGGGCTTGGAGATGTGTTAACAATTTAACCTGTGGATGGGTGGGCTTGTGGCTTCGGAGAACCAAATATCGGGCCCATGGAGGGATGTTGAACAGTGCACTGCTCCTGATTAAAAAGGATACCCGGCTCTTGAACATTATCAAATCGTCCCTTAAGAATTTTCCTGGATACGGCCTTGTACTATAATATGTGGACACTCACTTGGAGGTCACGTCACTGCAATCCTCGCAATTCTACTATCCGCCCTCTCGGGATCTTATCCGGGGCTCTGTACCACTACTAGTGCATATATTCAATTGCTACATTCTTCTAGTCTACAGATCCCCGAAGGGTGCTACGTCCACTGCTACACCCATAGACGTCCAGCTTGTATTTCCGAGCTGTTACGTCGAGGTACCTGCTCGCTAATCATACCCGTTGTCAATGCCAATGGCTGTATACCATCCCCCCTTCTGATGTAATTAGGGACTTCTGGACGGTCGCTGTAGAATTCAGTACTGATACTCAGGGCACAAAAAAGGGCTTGGATTGGGGGCTACATCCTCCGAGGTCTAACCAGCGGTAGTGTCTAGAATAATGGGCGACGGGAATGACCGGGCTTGGCGCGTATTGAAAACATGTGTAGCAAGTGTGCTATCCAAAGAGTTGGTACCCCGGGCAAGGTTTATAGATTTCAGGGGAGAGGGCCTTTATTGAGAATAAAGACCGGGGAGGGAACGGAGGTATGATATGGAGAGTAAGTGGAGGGTTAAAGGCGGGAGGATAGGGACGTTGAGAGGTGGTTTGGCGAAGTAGGGTTCGGTGGGGTGTGTTTGAGGATCGTGGTGTTGGGGAGTATGAGCGTGTTAGTTATTGGCGAAGGAGCGGCATAATGATTGATTGGTAGGTTATCGCTAGTAGCGGAGCTTGTGCATAAGAAATTTAGTGGAGTATACTGTATTTGTGTGGCTTCGGTTGGGGGGCCCAGAATGTCTGTTTTGTGTATCCTTGGAGCGCACACATGGTTTTAGGTATTGAGTAGGGGCTAGGAGATGGTAATGCAGTAAGGGTGGGATTGGCTTTCTTGGTCATTGTCGTGGGTTTGGCTTGGGGGGGATCCTGAGGAGCATGGTTATCTTGAGGGTTGAGCGCTGGGAGTTTAGGGGTGTTGAGGATTAGGCTTTGATCAAGAAGAAAAAAGGAAAGATAGACATGGGTTGATGGATGAATAAATTGGTTGGTTTTCTGTATGGTCTGGATATACCATAGGGTGGCTGCAGGATTTTTTTCTATTGTAATTTCCACATCTCATGGGAGCAGTTCTGAGGGGGAGGTTGGTTGCGATAATGAACCATAATTCGTCGGCCTATCCGCCGCGGCGATATTCTTGGGAGATGCTTTCATCCTGATTAGCCTCTTCCATCAACATACCTCCATCAAGATCATATGTCTTGCAGCAAGCTCTGTACCCATGGTATACTTCCCGTCTGGAGTTTCAAGGATACCGACATGATAAATCACCCAAGAGTTAGTGCAATCAACCCTTCGTGATTGTCCGGTGAACATACACTCTCATTGCCCTCCTCGCTCTCATCACCCTCTCCTACCCCATCTAAGCGATACTTTTCCTCATCTGGACCCCCATACCTCAAAATACCCCTCCTCGCGGCGATCCTTGTCGGCGTAATTGCTCCCATGCCGGTTCCTGAGCGAATGCTCAAACCACCTCTAGGCCAGCCAGCACAGCTAGGGACCCTCACTATTATCCCCCTGTCTCTGTCTCTTTCTCGGCTTGCCGGTTGGTTGGAAGACATCCACCGGTTTAGTAGGGAGTGTGTGTGCCCGCCAGCGAGTGCGCGCAGTTCGGCAGAGGACATTGTCTCTGCATGGTCGGTGTTCGAGAGGTGAAGGATTATGTCTGCTGGAGAAGAGTCGGTGCTTTTCGTAGATTCTGATACGCTGTCGGCGGTAGTGTCGGGAGTGCGGAATCGATGGTGTTGGAGCTGTGACTGATTATTCAGAGTTTTGAAGTGACCGTCAGTGCTGTTGGAAGCGCCGTTGAAATTCGAGGAACATATCTTTGAGCCTGAGACTTCAGCCACTAGTTTGCTCAAGGGAAAACCAAAGAGGAACTCGCGGAGTGCTAGATAATGCAGAGAGCAAGAGAGGACTAGTTCCAGCAACCGGGTAAGGGAGGAGTTCACGGGGGTTAATAATTGGCTGAAGTACAGGAGGCATACCGTAGAAGGGGCCTAAGGTTTTCCGCGTGCATTTAGCAAAGGACAGATAGTTTGTGGATGAGCTTCAAATCTTCCAATGGGTGGGGTTTCTCATCCCGGTTCTTCGTTGGGTTCGTTGGGTTCGCTATGTTGCGCACGGAGCCCACCCCATTGGTTGGGGTGGCTACGGAAATATCCGCCTGGGTTGTTAGAACCCACCGAAACCAATGGGGTGGGTTCCGTACCGCAACATACAAGTACTCGAGTAAGCTAACCCAAGGAACAAAACGAAGGGCCCGGAACACATCCGTTGGAAGGCTCGGCCCGGTGCTTGTGGCATCGTTAGGGTTCAATTGTTAGAGACTGGAGAATTGGCAAAGGGACATATATTTAGCTCCGAGCTACTACGGGAAGAACGGCTGTGACTATGAGGAGGAAGAGCGGCGCTGCTGTTTTGAGTGTACTCAGCCGAAACGACAAGGCACAGGTTGTAGTAGACATTTCGGTGGATGAAGCGAAAGCAGAGTTAGAAAGGAAGGATACGCAAGGTTTTTACGAGTTGGAAAAACGAATACTACAAAGTGTGTTCCTTTATTCCGATATCCATGAGGTTGCTCAATTGCTGACAGAATTTTATGATATTGATAGGGCAGGCTTGGTTTTGGTTTAGGAAATGGAGAAGAAAGGAGTCAATTTACAGAAAACTATGTATATTGCATGTAGTGGGTGCTCTATTATTATTATTACTATTATTATTATTAATATTATAGAGGGGTAGTGTCCTGGCCTTGGCACTATAGCTATCATTACTCGCCCAGAATCTCTGGTGGGCATTGCTCGGGGCTATGAATGGAAGTTTGCGCTGATGTGTTATCGAAATTCATGAAAGACTCAGGGCGAATCTGAATTTCAAGCTATAAAAACCATTCAAACCTTTCTAGCAGCTTATATGCGTTTTGCCTGATCGAAGTAAAGCGATCACTCCGGGGGCGTATCAGGTCAATCGCGCTTCCAACCAAGGCCCACAACAAAAATAATTATCTGAAGGATCACACAACAGATCCTAAATTTCCCATCATAGATTTCTCTTCTCCCTCCTCATGATTTCGAGCTAGATATGAATGGGAAAAAAAAGAAGGAAATGGAGTGGGAAGCTGTCTTCAAAATCCCATATATTGGAGATGGTAAGACTTCTCGCGGCTATGCTCACTAAGGAGAACCTCTTGGGCACAGGGGAACGTTTTCGGAGCGACTCCGGTGTTACCCTAAAGCTTTCTTATAATACGAACATCGATGAGATGTACCCTTCCAGGATGCCGGGAGTATTTCCGGAAGTGGCCCGTTATCTTTGAGTCACCAACTCTTGAGAGGTTGGAGATTGTAGTTAGCCTTTGCGAAGGGGCGGAGCTTGGGGTTCGCGCATCTGCGGGATTTCCTAGCCTTAAAGTTCTTCCTCGTGCTGTAGAGTTGGGATACCGCGGGGTTAATGTTTTCCCGGAGGATAGTAGAAACGGGGATATTGTACTTAGGTTGGAGAACCCCAATTAGGGAGGGAGGGGGGGGTCGAGGAAGCAATGAACAAGATAGGACGGAGGGTTTTCGTTGGTGAGCGACTTTACACGGCGGGGAGATTTTCTTCGGCTTTGTTGTTACTAAGATGAGGATTAACATATCCATTCTTGCTTGGAGGTCGGATTAATTCAGTATCCGATGAACTATTCCGATACCACAGGGTCGAAAAAGGTCAGGCAATTCTTGTTCCTCACGAGATGGATACTTAGAGGTGAAAGGCGGAGAGAATGGAGAATACCTATGGTGAAAAGATGGCTATCATATCCTCATTGACGCTGTCGGAGTCTTTTTACATGTCAATATCTTGAAGGGATTGAAGAACCCATATGAAGGGACTATGGTCAAGGAATATGCCCAGGCTCCGGGCGTTGAAACCGACTACGCTGCTCAAACTATTGTACAAGAGGTTGTTAGTGGATATCGGAGGTTCTTGGAGAAACTTGCCGTTTCTATCGCAGAAGAGTTTCCCGCTGGTTCTAGTGCCCTTTTTTCTGCGAGAATTCAACAATGGTAAGCTTTTGGAAGTGGTAAATGTTGGAAATACTGCTTGACATGCTCCGAACACACCCAGCATGCTTCTTTACATTTTACCTTCGCTTTTGTTTCCTTGTTCGCTGTTCGCTACTCGTCCGCCGTCTGTCGTCCTTCTCCGGCAGCTCTTTTCCCATGCTCCCAGCTACATTGCAAGCCATTGCAATCTCCCTAACCCCCGCCATACGCCCCCCCCTCCTCCGCACCACTACGTCGTACGTTTCTCTTTGGTCTTGACGGTTCGTGTCCGCTCGATTGTTCAGGCGGAGGTTTCGAGTATGCTCTTTGGGGAAGACCATCTGGGGAAGAGCATCTATAATAATGGGAACAGGGGAGGCGGAAATGGAAGAGGCGGAAACGGAAGGGGATGAGATGGGAGGCGAAAGCGGAAAGGACGGGAGTGTTCTTTGTGGCGCCTGTTTTTGTTCTTTATCTATTTGCACTGGGGCATGAGGAGGAAGGGGCGACTCGTATGGACAAGCGAGAATGATAGTAGACAATAAGCAGTGTTCGGTGGAATGATAAAAGGATGCTTTGCCGTTTAGTTAATTGGTCGGGCAGGAATGAGTTGGGAAATTAAGAAAAGTTGTCGAGCGAGTTGTGAAGCAAGAGTGTGATCCCCCGCTATTTGGTTGGGAAGAGTTTTCACAGCATCTTTAGTTTTTACGGTTTCGTTTACTTTCATCCTTGCCTCCGGTTAGAACTTGTTGTCTAAAAGTTAAACATGATGCCAATAGGGTAGATATCTAGATTACTATCATACTATGGTAGGAATCTATGCTCCGGGTGGGTGCTTGAGATGGATGCTAGCTACGTGTAGAACCGTGAGGGAGCCGGACTCTGGAAAAGATATTTTGATAAGAGCCGAGCAGTCTACCCCATACACACCGTCAATGCCATCGCTCTAGTTCTTAAACTTAACCGGGTCGTTCTTAGCAAGATTACATCAAGCTCTACAGTGGTGGTTCACGATGACTGTCTTAACCTGGGGCTCGAGTTGAAATTACGAGCTAAGAAACTCAAATGCGGGGGCACTCTTACGGGAGAGATAACGGGTGGGGGTTCTGACAAACGTCGATTGACCCTGTCAAAGAGTATATCACCTCACCAAGTTCACTGAGTTCTTCAATGGGTTCCAAGAAACCCACATGGAGATCTCTCTTCCGGCATTGACTTTTCCGACCCATCAGAGAGAGCAAGGCCAGGGTCGAGGAAATCCGGGATTGGTTGCAGAGTATCATATTCCGAGAGAAATCTTCGAGAAGGCACTGTTGGAGGCTTAGCAACTTGATAGGGACGCTGTCAGAGAGATCGAGGCAGCTGCCGATCAATGTGATATTATAAGAGAGTTGGAATGCTCGAGGCCAAGGCTTACAGTACGAAGGGGGTGCCTCGCAAGGCATTGTTAAAGCCTATCGAGCACATATTACCTAATTAGTAGTTTAGTTTGAGCGATAGGGTCGTCTCCACTTAGGATTCTGGCAAAGTTCTGGTTGCGACTAGCGGGAGTGTCGTCGGCCAGACCAGGATTTCAATGCTAAGCGAGTGATATCCTATGATAAACACAGGCATGGGCCGGCTCAGGCTCGAGCCGTATAGTAAACCTCAGGCGGCCCGAGCCCATTTCCTCACGAGCTAGCTCATGGCAAACACTAGCTCTGCTCCCAACCACCCTTCTGTTATGGGTGAGGGGTTTACAGGAGGAGGCAAAAAAAACAATCAGTCCATTGGAGCAAGGATTGTAGGGGCACTCTATCCGACTTTTCTTTTTTTTTTTAAAAAAAAAAGGCAAGTGCCGCATTTGAACGTCGGTTGCTGCGGCCTAATGCTTTCGGTAATGCGAGAGAGCGAGTGAAGCCCGCGCCGTATGGGCGCAGACACACGATAAATAGGTGCTCACCCACCTGTAACGTCCTGGACACTCGATTCCATTGGCCTCCATGCCCCCCCCCGCGATGGCGAACGCCCACACTTTGCGCCTCGCCAGTTCGCCTCTCTTAATCATGTCGGTAGACCCGATTATTGGCACTGTGAACCGTAACAAAGACAATACAAAGCTGTATCCTCATGGTATCTCCATGTTTTAATTATTTTGCGAGCCAGTGGAAGCTTATATTGCAGACTTGATCCGCGGCCCCAACGGCCTTTTTGACAAGCCAAGCGGGGTAGCACAACGACACGCAGATATCTGGCGCACGCGCCAGCGAGCGATCGAATGATTGCAAGCCAAATCGGATAACTTTTTGACACCTGATATCCATGATAGAACGTTAAAAAGGATAACTGATAGCGGCGGCATTTCTCGTATGATATTAAATTCCCTGCCGTTTGTGAGCGCAATTTCTAATGCATAAGCGCAAAAAATCGGTCGGAGCCTCGAGATTTTTGCGGTAGCCGATAACTGTGGTGTTGGAAGGATTTTTGAAAGGCATCGCTATCTCTGTTCGAGCGGTAAGTTCCGTTAGATCAGCCCAACCTGAAAACTAGCGCAAATTGAGGTGAGGCTATATTGTTTACCTCATCCAGAGAATTGGCTATCTTCTAGCTTAGCTAACCAAACTTTAATCATATCATACGTTATCTTAAGTGAGACGCGGACCCTAACGTGTTACTAGTTGCCGTTGCAGCAAACTAGAACTAAGCCAATTACCGGCTCCGAAATGGAATCTCTCTTATATTGAGCGAGCAGTGATAGGGTACGGGACTGTACTCGTTCAAGCCTCCATAGGAGGCAGTGTTTGTATCATACCACCAAGTTCGCTGCCCCAGATATTTATCAAGTATCACCCATTGCAACCGCCATGCAGAACTCCCTATCAAATCATACACCGTCCACCAAAACGTGATGGCTGCTATCATACTCCTTTGGATGTGTGCAGGGATTTTCTGGCTGATCATAACGTTACTAAATCCTAACCCTGTAGTCTACCGGTTGAAAGCAGGAAGTATAAAGATGGGTCTCCTGATTTGGATTTCTCAGTCTGACTTCCTTTCGCTTCCTTCTTGATATTATTCAGGATTCCGCCATCTCGAAATCGGGTCCCGCACCAATTCAGAATGTTGAAATCCATCATCTTGCTCTGCCTCGCAGTTCATATGGGCAGTGCCCACTGGTCTGGTCATGAGCAGGAGGGCATCACCCGTATCCTTGTTCGTCAGACCTTTATGTCCACGACGGCTGCTAGATCCACATCAGTGGCAAGAACTACTGCACCTACAGCATCAGTGCTAAGGACTACTGTACCCACAGTATCAGTACCAAGGACTACTGTACCCACAGTATCAGTACCGAGGACTACTGTACCCACAGTATCTGTGCCACGGACTACTGTACCCACAGTATCAGTACCAAGGACTACTGTACCCACAGCATCCGTACCGAGGACTACTGTACCCACAGTATCTGTGCCAAGGACTACTGTACCCACAGTATCAGTACCAAGGACTACTGTACCCACAGTATCAGTACCGAGGACTACTGTACCTACTATATCTCCACCCCGGATATCAACATCGACCCCACCCTCACGTCTGAGCGGTACATCCGGGGCACGACTCTCCACACTGACCTCCACTACTATACGATCCTCCACCACACGATCCATCACTCCACAGCCCTCCATTACCATACGATCCTCCACCACACGATCCACCACACGATCCTCTACTATACGATCCTCCACCACACGATCCACCGCCACACGGCGCTCCACTACTACACGATCCTCTACTATACGATCCTCCACCACACGATCCACCGCCACACGACGCTCCACTACTACACGATCCTCCACCATACGATCCACCATACGATCCACCACACGATCCTCTACTATACGATCCCCCACCACACGATCCACCACCACACGGCGCTCCACTACAATACGATCCACCACCTTACGATCTACCACTAGACCTTCCACCTCACGACGCTCCACCTCACGAAGATCCACCCCACGACCCCCCACCCCACACCCAGCGCCCACCTCATTCCCCACGGTCGACGAAGACGCTGTGGCACCGAAAGACGCAGCGCCTGTCACGACCACCCACGGCTTCGTTACAGCCACCATCGACGACAGCCCTGTCACCTTGGCCTACTCTGGCGAAGTTGTCCCCCTCCAAACCTTAGACGATCACAGGCCTGCCCCAATTAGCTTTAAACCTGCCGCGCTTGCAGCGCTTGCGAGTGACGATGAAACAAAACTCTTTGGTGAACTTTTGGCGCTAGCGCCATCCGTCTTTGAAAGCCTCGAAGCAGATAAGGAATACTACATTTTCGCACCCACTACCCAGTTCGTTTTAGAGTTCCTCGGGGAACACCGGGACGATCAACAGTGGCTTGCCCGCCGCAACTTGCTTGTCGACCCCTACATCAGCCAGCAGTTCGCAGAGAAGCCCGAGGAAGGGCCAGATATCAAGTATGAGTCGCTCACTCTCGAAACTAGATTGGTGGGCGAAACCAAATACGTGGACCTCGGACCTGGTGAAGCAGCTCTTGTGGTCTCCAATCCTGTGCCCGATGGGGATGGTGCAGTGGAAATCACCTCTGGATTTGGAAATTCGACACTGGTTCATGCTGAGGGTATACCCTTT